CACAAATTCCCAGTGTCCGAAAGAATGTGATGGCAGACAACCCCACACCCTCAGAATGTGATGGTAGATAACCCCACACCCTCAGAATGTGACAGTAGACAACCCCCTACCCTCAGAATGTGACGGCAGACAACCCCACACCCTCAGAATGTGACGGCAGACAACCCCACACCCTCAGAATGTGATGGTAGACAACCCCCTACCCTCAGAATGTGACGGCAGACAACCCCACACCCTCAGAATGTGACGGTAGACAACCCCACACCCTCAGAATGTGACGGCAGACAACCCCCTACCCTCAGAATGTGACGGTAGACAACCCCACACCCTCAGAATGTGACGGCAGACAACCCCACACCCTCAGAATGTGACGGTAGACAACCCCACACCCTCAGAATGTGATGGCAGACAACCCCCTACCCTCAGAATGTGACGGTAGACAACCCCCTATGCTCAGAATGTGATGGTTGACAACCCCCTATGCTCAGAATGTGATGGTTGACAACCCCACACCCTCAGCTTAGGCTTCACTTAGAAGATGAACGACAGGCAGTTGACTTACCACTATCTGGGGCCAGCGCTGTGGCGCAGTAGGCTAAGCTTCCACCTGAGGCGCCAGCATCCCATACGAGTGCCGGTTCAAGTCCCGGCTGCTCCACTTCCGATCCAGCTCTCTGCTGTGGCCTGGGAAAGCAGCAGAAAATGGCCCAAGTCCTTGGGCCCCTGCACCCACGTGAGAGACCCGAAAGAAGCTCCTGGCTTCAGATCGGCCCAGCTCAGGCTGTTGCGGCCATCTGGGGAGCGAACCAGCGGATGGAAGACCTTTCTGTCTTGCCTTCTCTCTCTAACTCTACTCTCGAATAAATGAATAAAATCTTTAAAAATAAAAAAAAAGTATTCTTTGGAAGTAAACCTTTAAAAATTATCACTTTCTTGAGCAAAGTCAGCCTGTGCGCTGGATTCGGGGCTGGCCTGTAGCACAGCGAGGAAAGCCGCTGCCTGCAATCAGACATCCCAAGCAGGTGTCCAGTGCTGGCTGCTGCAGACATCTGGGGCTCAACCAGCAGATGAACGATCTGTCTGTCGCTCTGCTTTCAAGTAAGTGAAAATAAACATGCCGGCGCCGTGGCTCACTAGACTAATCCTCCGCTTTGTGGTGCCGGCACACCGGGTTCTAGTCCCGGTCGGGGCGCCGGATTCTGTCCCGGTTGCCCCTCTTCCAGGCCAGCTCTCTGCTGTGGCCAGGGAGTGCAGTGGAGGATGGCCCAGGTGCTTGGGCCCTGCACCCCATGGGAGACCAGGAGAAGCACCTGGCTCCTGCCTTCGGATCAGCGCGGTGCGCCGGCCATTGGAGGGTGAACCAACGGCAAAAGGAAGACCTTTCTCTCTGTCTCTCTCTCACTGTCCACTCTGCCTGTCAAAAAATAAAAAAATAAAAATAAAAAAAAAAAAAGAAAATAAACATAGGGGGTGCAAAGAAGAGGCTGGATCCATCGGGGTGAAGGGCCAGAGTTCAGAACTGTCACCTCGAGCAGCCTGCAAGGGGCCCGTTAGAGGTGCCACTTCTCACCTTGAAACGAATGCTCTATCCACACAGCAGGCTAGGGCACTGTTTAAAAGATTTATTTATTTATTTGAAAGTCAGAGTTACACAGAGAGAGGAGGAGAGGCGGAGAGGCGGAGAGGCGGAGAGGCGGAGAGGCGGAGAGGCGGAGAGGCGGAGAGGCGGAGAGGCGGAGAGAGAGAGAGAGAGAGAGAGAGAGGTCTTCCATCCGCGGGTTCACTCCCCAGTGGCTGCAATGTCCACAGCTGCGCAGATCCCAAGCCAGGAGCCAGGAGCTTCTTCCAGGTCTCCCACGTGGGTGCAGGGGCCCAAGCACTTGGGCCATCTTCTACTGCTTTCCCAGGCCACAGCAGAGAGCTGGATCGGAAGAGGAGCAGCTGGGACTTGAACCGGTGCCCATACGGGATGCTGGCACTGCAGGTGGCAACTTAACCCACTACACTCCAGGGTCCGCCCCAGGCACTGAGTCTTTATTCTAACTTTATCGTCCTGCTGTTCAGTTTAAAACAACAACCCAACAAACAAAAGGCCCACGACGTGGTTCACACATGCACCAGACGCCTCTTCTCAAGTCACAGGCTAACAGGCTCAGCAGGCGGACCCCACACCTTCTCTCGGCCACTTTCCTGGCAAAAGCATCCAGTGACTTTGGCCACCGTGACATCAGTCAGCCTGTGGCCACAGAGATCACCGTCCACTGCCACGCCTTCCAGGTAGAACAGTGGAAGTGAGAAACCAGCTGTCTACAACCACCACTCTGCACAGCACTCTGTACTCAATGCTGTGAACAGTACTGTGCCACCAAACCACTTCCGCAGCACTGTGCACTCAGTACTCGCTGCAGTACTTTACAACAATGTGCAGCCCTGCACTCAGTCCTCCGTATAGCACCACACACCTGCCAACCTGCACAGGGCACTGGGCATTTGGCACTCTCTACAGCCCTGTGCTTCCAGTACTCCATACGGTACCACAGGACCACCACCTCCATAGGGTATTCCACAGCTGCTGACCTCTGACCTCCACAGTATCATGTAGCCACTGACCTCTGACCTCCATAGAGTATTATACAGCCACTGACCTCTGACCTCCATAGAGTATTATACAGCCACTGACCACCACCTCCATAAGGTATTCCACAGCTGCTGACCTCTGACCTCCACAGTATCATATAGCCACTGACCTCTGACCTCCAGAGTATCATACAGCTGCTGACTACCACCTCCAAAGAGTACTATACAGCCACTGACCTCTGACCTCCATAGAGTATTATACAACTGACCATCAACCTCCATAGAGTACTATACAGCCTCTGACCACCACCTCCATAGAGTACTATACAGCCACTGACCTGTGACCTCCATAGATATTATTCAGCCACTGACCTCTGACCTCCAGAGTATTATACAGCCAGTGACCTCTGACCTCCACAGAGTATAATACAATCACTGACCACTGACCTCCACACGGTAATATACAGCCGCTGACCTCTGACCTCCATAGATATTATTCAGCCACCGCCCACCACCTCCAGGGTTGTAATATACAACGGCTGACCACCGTACAGAACCACGCACTTTGCGAGCAGGGTAACACCTCTACCGCGACTCCCTCCAAACTTCCACAGGAGACAGGGCCGCCTCGAGTGTCACCCCGTAAGTCACCAGTGGCACCAGGCGCTGGAAGTGACCTGGTCAGCCCGAGCTCACGCATCTTCACATGAGGAACCGGGACAGAAACTGGAGTTCTCTGCACCAGGGCCTGTCTCCGTGACGTCACACAGGACACAGCACCAGGGCCGGGGGTGGGGGGAGTCGCCTCCCCCTGGACAGCAGCGGCACCTCCTGTCCACTACCAGCCCTGTGTGCACGTCGTCCTGCAACCCTGACAGGTGTCCTCTGCCGCCGTCATGGGAACGCCGCCGTGTCCCAGGAAACCAGCTGACTCGGCACCCCTGCCCCGCGGGAGGGCCCCCACGTCCCGCCTGCCTCCACTGCGCCCGCGCAGCGCAGCTCGGACGGCCCCGGTTCCGGAGCACCCTGCACCACCTCGCATGGCCTGGAGCACCCGGCACCACCTCGCATGGCCGCACCACCGCCGCCTCCTGACTTCAAGCGCTGGGGGCAGCGAGTGGGGCAGTCCTGCTTCCTCTGGCGTGGGACAGGCACTCGGGAAACGTCCGTGGACCGCAGGCGCGGAGGCGCCAACTCCCAGGGGCGCACAGGCCAGCTGTCCCGGGCACCGCAGACAGCTCGTCGCGTCCGCGTCGGCTCCCTGGACGCCCGTCCCGAGGCCCCTTCGCCAGGTCAAGCCACACGCCGCTCGCCCGGAGGGACCCAACGTCGGGTGACGACACGGTCGGGTCTAAACGTTATCTCGGGCGCACCCGAGTCACGGCTTTGCCTGGCCTGCCTCACCCGTTCCCAGACGCACCGAACGAAGGCAGCGCGCGCGCACACGGAGCCGGACCCCGCACACCCCACGCGTGCAGAAACACGCGCGGCAGCGGCGCTGGCTGACTGGGAGCTGCAGTTCACTCACTCCCAGGAAAAAAAAAATCGCAACTGGAAAGCGTGGCTTCCCCTAAACGTCTGCCCTATGCGCAGGCGCAGCCGCAGGCCGCGGGGCGAGGGTCCCCGTGGCCTCTGCTGGGTTCCCACCGAAGGCGCGAGGCCGCCGCGGGCTCCCACCTCGGGGTCACTCCACGCTCCACCGGGACTCCAGCAGCCACAGTTCCGGACGAGGCCCAGGGGTCGGGCAGCACAACGGGCAGTGCGCGCTCCGAAGCGGGGGTCCACGTGCCCCGTCTGCCAACTGGGCACCGCAGGCCACAGAAGCCGGTGCCCGCGGCCAGCCCCGCGCAGACGCCTGACGGAGCCCCCGCTGCTGGCCGGGCCACGGCGACGCAGCGGCGACCTGTCCAGTCGGCCAGCGCCACTTCCTCCCGGGATCCGGTGTCCTGCGGCGGCCGGGGAGCGCTCCGAGGGCGGAGGCCTCGTCCGTCTTGTCCACCCACGCCCAGGACGTGCGCTGGGCGGGAACGCCAGGTCAGACAAGGTCCCGCGACACGGACACGAACGCGTGACAGCGGAGCGGCCCGCGCGGGAGCCTCCCACGGGGGAGGTGTGGCTCGCGGCTTCCTGGTGCCCAGCGCCAGGCTGTCCTGGGGACAGGAGGGCCTGCACCGCGCCGTCGGGCACGTGCTGGACGTCGGCCGCGCCTGGCGAGGCCCGGTCCTCTCGGCCTGGCCCCCGCGGCTGTCCGCAGCGGGCCGGGCAGCAGGGGCCAGGCTGGCGCCGCGCACCGCGGCCCCTTCCCGGCCGGCGCAGCCCCGGGCCTCGGCCAGGGCCTCGAAGGCCCCCGCCGGCCGGCCGGGCCCCGCAGCGGCGCCGTCGGGGCGGAGGCGCGCGCGGGGCGGCGGCGGCCTCGGGCTTACCTCGGAATTTGAGCTCGTGCTGCGGCTCGAGGCTCAAGACCTGCTCCACCTTCGCCATGGTCGTCGGCGGGCACCTCCGGCCAGCAGACCCGAGAGGTCACCTGCGCCGCGAGCGCCAAGGCCGCGCCCCCCGGGAGAGCGACAGAGCGGGGCGCGGCGGGGGCGCGGCGGGGGCGCGGGCCGGGCGCGGCGGGGGGCGGCGGGCGGGGCGGGGGCGGCCGACGCGCTGCGGGCGCAGGGGCGGAGGGCGAGGGCGAGGCCGCGGTGCCCGGCGAGCTCACGGCACGCACGCACGCACGCACGCCGCGACGCACGCACGCACGCACGCACCCGGCCGGCTGGCTGGCTCGGGCCGCGGGAAGCTGCGCCCTGCGCCGGCTCCGGGGGGCGGGGCCAGAGGCTGCGCGCGCGGAGGCCCGCGGGGGGGGGGGGCGGCCGGCGCGCAGGCGCGGCACCGGCGCGGGGCGGGGCTGCCTCGGGGGGCGGGGCTTGGCGGCGCTCGGGGGCGGGGTCGGAGGGTGCCCTGCAGGGCCGGCAGTCCAGGGCCGAGGCTGCGGGTGGACGGCCCGCTGGGGGCCGGCCGTGGCGACCACCAGCGGGACGGGGACAGTTAATGCACACTTGCACTTGGCTCCCGCGGTGCCAGGCGCCGAGGTTGTGAACACTGGGGGAGGAACTTGTTAGAAAGTGCGCGGTCCGGGCGAGGTACAACCAACTGCCAGCTACTGCCCGCTCGTTTTCCGCCGCTCTACCGGGTGCTTTTCACGTAAAAGCCACTGTGCGTTAAACATGTAACAGATGTGTAGAAAAGCCGTCGGCTAAGAGGGGGCAGATCTGCACCCCGCGACCGTGGCCGGGTGCGGAGAGGCAGACGCAGTGCGTGGCTGAACGCTGCCGGGGCCCAGATCCGCGTCCCCTCGGAAGTGGACGCTGGGCATCCTTGTTGCCTTTAGAGCCACTTCATTCTGTCACCCCGACGGCCCCTGTGCACGCGGTCCCGGGTGCCTCGGGAGGTGCCTGTCGGGTACGCGGTCCCGGGTGCGCTCGGCCGGCCCCCCCTGTCCGGTACGCGGCCCCGGGTGCCTCGGGCGGTGCCTGTCGGGTACCCGGTCCCGGGTGCGCTCGGCCTCCCCCGCCTGTCCGGTACGCGGTCCCGGGTGCGCTCTGCCGGCCCCGCCTGTCCGGTACGCGGGCTCCAGTGCGCTCGGCCGGCCCCGCCTGTCCGGTACGCGGCCCCGGGTGCCTCGGGCGGTGCCTGTCGGGTACCCGGTCCCGGGTGCGCTCGGCCGGCCCCGCCTGTCCGGTTCGCCAGCGCTGTTCATGCTGCTCTCCCCACTTCTCTGTGTGCTCCACGTTCTTCACAATAAAGGTGTTTTTAAAAAATCATCTCTGTCTTTCAGCTTGAGCGTTTGGACCACTAACACTTGTTATAGTCACTGAATGCCTGGACTGTATTTCTACCATGGTCATTTCTGTTTGTCCTGAGGGCTTTGTTGGTTGGTTTTGTCCTCTCCTTTCTTGCTTCTTTAGAGGTGACTTTTTTTCTAATTCTACTTTACACACTCGATTTATGTTGTTTGAGGAGTAATTTTACCCTAGAATTTTTGCCAGGTGTTCATATAAATTCATGTTTTAAGAATATCTGTACTCTGTCCCCTTGAAACGTAAGGGCTCTGGAGTCTGGAATCCTAGTCCCCGTCCCTAGGTTCTGGGCTGGAGTCCTAGTCCTCTGTCCCTAGGTTCTGGGCTGGAATCTTAGCCTCCCGTCCCTAGGTTCTGGGCTGGAATCCTTCCCCCATCCCTAAGTTCTGGGCTGGAATCCTAGCCCCCATCCCTAGGTTCTGGGCCGGAATCCTAGTCCCCCATCCCTAGGTTCTGGGCTAGAATCCTAAACCCCCATCCCCAGGTACTGGGCTGGAGTCCTAGTCCCCTGTCCCTAGGTTCTGGGCCGGAATCTAGCCCCCATCCCTAAGTTCTGGGCTGGAGTCCTAGCCCCCCGTCCCTAGGTTCTGGGCTGGAATCCTAGTCCCCTGTCCCAAGGTTCTGGGCCAGAATCCTAATCCCCCCATCCCCAGGTTCTGGGCTGGAGTCCTAGCCCCCCGTCCCTAGGTTCTGGGCTGGAATCCTAGTCCCCTGTCCCAAGGTTCTGGGCCGGAATCCTAGTCCCCCCATCCCTAGGTTCTGGGCCAGAATCCTAATCCCCCCATCCCCAGGTTCTGGGCTGGAGTCCTAGTCCCCTGTCTTAGGTTCTGGGCTGGAATCCTAGTCCCCTGTCCCGAGGTTCTGTGCTGGAATCCTAGCCCCCTGTCCCGAGGTTCTGGGCCAGAATCCTAGTCCCCATCCCTAGGTTCTGGGCTGGAATCCTAGCCCCCATCCCTAGGTTCTGGGCTGGAGTCCTACTCCCCATCCCTAGGTTCTGGGCTGGAATCCTAGTCCCTGTCCCTAGATTCTGGGCTGGAATCCTAACCCCCATCACTAGGTTCTGGGCTGGAATCCTAGTCCCTGTCCCTAGGTTCTGGGCCAGAATCCTAGTCCCCGTCCCTGTGTTCTGTGCTTGAGTCCTAGTCCCCATCTCTAGATTCTGGGCTGGAATCCTAGTCCCCATCCCTAGATTCTGGGCTGGAATCCTAGTCCCCTGTCCCTAGGTTCTTGCTGGAATCCTAGTCCCTCTTCTCTAGGTTCTGGGCCGGAATCCATGGCCCCATCCCTAAGTTCTGGGCCAGAAACCTAGCCCCCCATCCCTAGGTTCTGGGCCGGAATCCTAGACCCCCGTTCCTAGGTTCTGTGCTGGAATCCTAGCCCCCTGTCCCTAGGTTCTGGGCCAGAATCCTAATCCCCCCATTCCCAGGTTCTGGGCTGGAGTCCTAGTCCCCTGTCCCTAGGTCCTGGGCTGGAATCCTAGTCCCTTGTCTCTAGGTTCTGGGCTGGATTCCTCATCCCTCGTCCCTAGGTTCTGGGCTGGAATCCTAGTCCCCATCCTAGGTTCTGGGCTGGAATCCTAGTCCCCTGTCCCGAGGTTCTGGGCTGGAATCCTTGTCCCCATACCTATGTTCTGGGCTTGAGTCCTAGTCCCCCTTCCCTAGGTTCTGGGCTGGAATCCTATTCCCCCGTCCCTAGGTTCTGGGCTGGAATCCTTCCCCCATCCCTAGGTTCTGGGCTGGAATCCTAGCCCCCATCCCTAGGTTCTGGGCCGGAATCCTAGCCCCCCCATCCCTAGGTTCTGGGCCAGAATCCTGGTCCCCCCATCCCTAGGTTCTGGGCCAGAATCCTGGTCCCCCCATCCCTAGGTTCTGGGCCGGAATCCTATTCCCTTGTCCCGAGATTCTGGGCTGTAATCCTAGTCCGCATCCCTAGGTTCTGGGCTGGAGTCCTAGTCACCATCCCTAGGTTCTGGGCTGGAGTCCTAGCCCCCGTCCCTAGGTTCTGGGCCAGAATCCTAGTCCCCGTCCCTATGTTCTGTGCTTGAGTCCTAGTCCCCATCCTAGGTTCTGGGCTGGAGTCCTAGCCCTCGTCCCTAGGTTCTGGGCTGGAATCCTAGTCCCTGTCCCTAGGTTCTGGGCCAGAATCCTAGTCCCCCGTCCCTATGTTCTGGGCCAGAATTCTAGCCCGTGTCCCTAGGTTCTGGGCTGGAATCCTAGTCCCCCGTCCCTAGGTTCTGGGCTGGAATCCTAGCCCCATCCCTAGGTTCTGGGCTGGAATCCTAACCCCCATCCCTAGGTTCTGGGCTGGAATCCTATTCCCCTGTCCCAAGATTCTGGGCTGTAATCCTAGTCCCCATCCCTAGGTTCTGGGCTAGAGTCCTAGGCCCCTGTCCCTAGGTTCTGGGCTGGAATCCTATTCCCCCATCCCTAGGTTCTGGGCTGGAATCCGTCCCCCGTCCCTAGGTTTTGGGCTGGAGTCCTAGTCCCCATCCCTAGGTTCTGAGCTGGAGTCCTAGCCCCTGTCCCTAGGTTCTGTGCTGGAATCCTAGTCCCCGTCCCTAGGTTCTGGGCCAGAATCCTAATCCCCCCATCCCCAGGTTCTGGGCTGGAGTCCTAGTCCCCTGTCCTTAGGTTCTGGGCTGGAATCCTAGCCCCCATCACTAGGTTTTGCCGGAATCTAGCCCCCATCCCTAGGTTCTGGGCTGGAATCCTAGTCCCTCGTCCCTAGGTTCTGGGCCAGAATCCTAGTCCCCCCCCATCCCAAGGTTCTGGGCTGGAATCCTAGCCCAACCGTCCCTAGTTTCTGGGCTGGAATCCTAGTCCCCTGTCCCGAGGTTCTGGGCCAGAATCCTAGCCCCCGTCCCTAGGTTCTGGGCTGAAATCCTAGCCCCCATCCCTAGGTTCTGGGCTGGTATCCTAGCCCCCCATCCCTAGGTTCTGGGCCAGAATCCTAGTGCCCCCATCCCTAGCTTCTGGGCTGGAATCCTAGTCCCCTGTCCCGAGATTCTGGGCTGGAATCCTAACCCCCATCACTAGGTTCTGGGCTGGAATCCTAGTCCCCTGTCCCAAGGTTCTGGGCTGGAATCCTAGTCCCCATCACTAGGTTCTGGGCTGGAATCCTAACCCCCATCCCTAGGTTCTGGGCCGGAATCCTAGCCCCCATCCCTAGGTTCTGGGCCGGAATCCTAGTCCTCCCATCCCTAGGTTCTGGGCTGTAATCCTAGTCCCCATCCCTAGGTTCTGGGCTAGAGTCCTAGGCCCCTGTCCCTAGGTTCTGGGCTGGAATCCTATTCCCCCATCCCTAGGTTCTGGGCTGGAATCCTAGTCCCCATCCCTAGGTTCTGGGCTGGAATCCGTCCCCCGTCCCTAGGTTTTGGGCTGGAGTCCTAGTCCCCATCCCTAGGTTCTGAGCTGGAGTCCTAGCCCCTGTCCCTAGGTTCTGGGCTGGAATCCTAGTCCCCATCCCTATGTTCTGGGCTTGAGTCCTAGTACCCCATCCCTAGGTTCTGGGCTGGAATCCTATTCCCCAGTCCCTAGTTTCTGGGCTTGAGTCCTAGTCCCCATCCCTAGGTTCTGGGCGGTATTCTTAGTCCTCCATCCCTAGATTCTGGGCCGGAATCCTAGCCACCCATCCCTAGGTTCTGGGCTGGAGTCCTAGACCCCTGTCCCTAGGTTCTGGGCTGGAGTCCTAGTCCCCTGTCCTTAGGTTCTGGGCTGGAATCCTAGCCCCCATCACTAGGTTCTGGGCTGGAATCTAGCCCCCATCCCTAGGTTCTGGGCTGGAATCCTAGTCCCTCGTCCCTAGGTTCTGGGCTGGAATCCTAGTCCCCCGTCCCTAGATTCTGGGCCAGAATCCTAGTCCCCCCCATCCCCAGGTTCTGGGCTGGAATCCTAGTCCCCATC